AAAATGGAGACCTTGTTCGTGTCTGTTTATAGACTTTGGCTATTGTAGCATCTCCCTCTAGGCAGGACTTCAGGTTCAGACTACTCGCTGTCCCCCCAGCCAAAGCGAGGGGCGTCACAGCCAACCAGAGGCTCTGGGAGAGTGGTGTGTGCGGGCCACCAGGCGGACCTTTCTCACTGCCAGCCCAGCCGCATGGCTTTCCCTGCCATGTGCTCTCGGTCACCTGGGCTGCAGGCCCATAATCACTGATCTGGTGTCCAACACCTTCCTCCTTAGACTCCTGCCTGTAATCCAGGAGAAGACCCAAGAGCTGCTGATGCAGCCCACACCTCCAGCTCGACAGACCCGCCGGTCCAAGCTTCCTGCATGCGCTCCACATCCCTCAGGAACGGTACATCCTTAGGTTCTGCCAGCCCTGTGTCACATTTTGGGCTCTTGGCTGGGGCAGGACAGGCAGCAAGAACTGCCCATTGTCCCAGCCCTCTTGCCCTACCCAAGCTCAAGGTGATTAATGCTGCATGTGTGTTGTGTGCATGGACTTCAGGGAATGCACTCCCTCTATACTGAGAGGGAAGAAAGAGAGCTCCAGCTGCTGATGGCATCTAGGCGCCATGAGGTGGAAGTCGAAGTGTGGCGCAGGTACTTTGGCAACCGAATGAGAGCGGACAAGGAGCACGGAAAGGTACGACCTGCACATCAAAAGTCCCCAGGAAAAAGGTGTTTCCCCTCCTCGCTCCCTGTTGTAACACTCTGGCCCCGGAGCTGCCACACCTGGGAGGGAGCAGGGAAGGTGTCCGGGCACAGCGGCAGTGCCATGGCCTGCCCACTGCCCTGCAGCAGGAGCTGTTCCTGAGCCCCCAGGCTGGAGCGTGCAGCTGGCTGTGGCATGGGCTGTCAGCTGTGTGCTCTCTGCGAGGGCTCAGCACCACTGCTGTGAAGACCAAGCCAAGCCTGGGCAAGTCCCGCGCCTCAGCTGAAGCTCTGGGAGCAGCCCCAGCCATCGGTGGCAGTGCTTTAGAAGTCTCCTCTGCCTTTGCAGACCTCCTGCCCCTACGTGTTTGAGGATCCCTATCGCCCTCCCTACCTCCTGAGAAAGGCCTATGCCGAGAAGCTGAAGAAGGAGCAAAGCACGGCAAGGCAGAGCACGTTAGAGCAGCAGGAAGAGCTGCAGCTCCCGGGAAAAGTGCTGCAGGAGTAAGTGTGGTTGTGGCACGAGGGCCCATGACAGGTCCAGCAGAACAGCGGGCTGGGCTCGACAGCACTGCCAGGAACTACCGGCCTGAGCCAGGCTTTGGGGCATGGGGAGCCCTTTTCCCTGGCTACAGAGCTGAGGAGGCCTTTTCTTCTGTCTCTTTTAGCAAGGGGGTGCAGACAGGTCTGTTGGAGCACCGTGGGGAAGGCCCTGGGACTGCCAGCCCTGCCTAGATGATGTGAGCAGCCCCGGAGAGCCCCTTGTCACAGCATCCACCCTTTTCACTCAGAGAGCTGCCAGGAACTGGTGGCAAGGGCAAGGAATGCCTTAGCAAAGGAGAAGGTGGCAAATAAAGACTGCTGGTACCTGATCCCAGCTGGAGTGACCATGCTCCTGCCTTCACTGCCTTTCTCTGCAGGCCAAGGGGACAGGAGTGGCCTCTCCAGCCCCCAGGTCAACAGGCAAACGGGTTTGGAGGTACCTGGTCCTGCCAGCCAGTGGTGACAGATCCTGGGACTGAAAGGAATGGTATCCCTTGCAGTCTGAAGGGCATAGGGGGTTGCAAAGCACAGCTCTCCTGCATCCAAACACTGCTTTGTAGGGCTAACCATAGATCTGTGGTTGGTCACAGCACTGTTGGTGTAGATTCGCTCTGGCCAACAGTTGGCTTGATGCTCCTTGAAGAGCTACAGTGACATGGAGAAATGTGCTTCATTGATGACATTCCTTTAGTTGAGCCCTTAGCTGACTCTCAGGACTGTTCAGTGGTCTTCTCGGGTGGAAGTTTATTCATTTTGAAAAGAGAGAAACTTTTGAAAGTGTCAAAGCCCTTTTTTTTGCAAGGTAAACTACAGCATGAAGAAGAAAGTCACGACCTGGAAGGGTAAAAGCACTAGAGCAGCAACAGTTTCTCAGGCTCACCTTTCCTAGCTGAGGAAGCCTCAGTCAGGCCTGATCACGTTCATCTCTGCGATGAGGAACCTCCATCAGCTCTGTGTTCCTGTGTGCCACTTGCCGCTGGTTTACAGTGATGGTGTGAAAGTCTGACAGGTTTGCACGCAGCTGAAATGAAGAGGGTGTAAGGGCTGGCCAGTGAGTGGCCTTTGTAAGGTTTTGAAGTGTAATGCTGGCCGGATTTGTCAGTCTTCTAAGCATTTCTAGTGTAGTGTACTGGAATTGCCCAAGCAATGTTGAAACAACATGTATTAATTTGCAGCATAGAAGCGCAGCCAAAAGGAGAAGAAAGCTGGGGTGCTTAGGGGAGATGATTTCACTCTTACCCTGAGGAAGACATTTGTAGAATCATAAGACTATCATAGCTAGCTTTTGTTTAAAGGCAGCTGTAGATGGTTTAAAGTAAGGTAAAACTCTGATGATTGACTGTCCTATTAATGCTTCAGCACTGTCGTTTAAAACTCACACCTTCTTCTCTCACAAAACTGAGGCAGGGCTTTAAAATGAACTGTGTGTTTAGCCAGAAGTCAAGGAAGAACTAGTTGCCAGCAGAGGAGCTGGACTGCCTTGGGAAGGGTGCTGTTTATTGTGCATCGTTCATATTGGTGGAAGTTAGTGGTGCAATCTGCTGGTCAAACTGGCTTTGCTTTGGTTAGCATTTTGCTTCTGATGATCACTTCCTTACTAGGGAGCACAGAGTCTCAGACCTTGGTCTATAAAATGTTGGTTAGCCTTTCAGAAAGGTGGTTGTTCACAGATTGCTCTGCTTTCAAACAGTTAATGTATAATTGGGGTGCTTACATTAATGGCTTTTATCATGTCAGGTGACTGAATTAGTGGCTGAAAATGTTACGTGGTCACAAAGAGGGAAGCCTTGTGCAATGAAAATGCAAGCATGATTGCATTTAAAAAATATTCTGTTAAAAAATAGTCTGTTACCAATAGAATATGGAGAGGTAACCCTTGCTCCTGAATGTAGACAGTAATCTAACTGGAGCTGTAAAAACTGACTTCTTGAACATTTGGTGAAACTTCTAATCCTTCTGGGGAAATAAATGTGTGTTAATTAAGGGCCGGAATTCCACGAAGCTTATTAGTTGTCTAGCTGGATCTGAGAAGCAGAAGGTTGAACAGAGTTTAACTAAAATTTCAAACTGTTAATTAGTCTGCTTTCTTCCCTGTCTCCTTTCTGTTTTCTTGGGTTTGGTTTGTGTAGCGCTCTTTGAATGACCCGTGAGAAACTACTGTGCTTCTGACATGATAGCTCCCAATTGTAAATGCTGTACTTTACTAGCTGTGAAAGAATAAAGCTTTAAAAGTGCTTGGCTTCCCTTAGCTACAAGCTAGCTTGTTATGGATGAAGAAATGAGAGAAAGTGGAAAAAACAGGCTGGCTAATCTTGTTAAATTGGCTGAATAATGTTGCATTCACAATTTGTGAACTCCATGCTGGAAGGCACAGATGTTTTAATAAACTTCAGATGACCTGCCTTACTTTAGTGCCTTTTTCAGCACTCAGAAAATGTTTGATGGGCATGAGGAAACCTAAATATGAAACTGCCTTCCTTACAGACCTCTGTTTTGGGAGTTAGGAATATGGGAATGTGGGAATATGTGGAAGTTGTGCTTCACTAAAGCGTGCCTGGGCAAGATCAGCGAGGGGAAGGTAGACCCTTAAACCTGTTTTAGTAGCTTCAGAAGTTTGTTAAACAGCAGTGTGAACTGTTTCCTGAACTTTTCGCTCGGATACTACAGATAAGTTCACTTTCTGTTGGGGAGGGGCAAGGGGGATGCTAGCATGCAGTACAAAACTTCCAGGGATTCTAATACGATGTGAAGTGAGCTGAACTAAACAGCTGCTATTTGACCTCAGTAGCCCCTGTGCCCCCCAGTGAAACAATTTTGAATCTGCTGAGTAGGAATGGTTTAAAGGTCTATTGTAAAAGACACAAGACTTCTATTCGTTAATTGTCAGAGTCTGCTTTGTATTTCCAACAATGAATAGCATTTCATTCCAGGGGTCTAGTTAAGACCTTCAGCTAACTTGACTTCTGGCTCCTGTCCCCCTATTATTTAATGCCTCACTTTTAAATGTTTTGTTGTTCTAATCACTGAAATGTTTATATTTTCCTTTCAGTTTGTAATATGTCTCAGCGAAGACATTTGCATTAATATAAATGCATTTGCCTAATAAGATGCATTTCAAAACAGAATATGCATCAGAATGACTGTTCCTGGTAACCTAACTTGTTTCACACCAGTATGCTGTGCCTGTATTTTAGTTCTAAACTTTGGTGGGTGGGGGCCAAGAGGGAAAGGGCATTAAGTGTAGTGTAGATAGCCCCTGAGTTATAAATGGAAAGAAAACTTGGATCTGTAAAAATGTTCTAATCATGCAGATTAGAACAGTTGTGTTGTATGACTGTCACGCTTCTACAGTCCTATTTTTCTAAGCATTTGTAGATTTTTCCCCATACCTTTAGTTATTTCCCCACTCCTTTAGAATACGTTTGCTTTTCATTAAGAGAAGCCTAAGTACATATATCTTAAATCTAAATTTGAGGAGCCCCTGAACCAATAGGGTGGCTGTTCGTAAATGTGAGAGTCTAGGTACACATGAATAAGAATCCCAAAATCTCTGTTACAGGGAGCACTTACTGTGTGATTCTTTTGGCAGTTTTTGAATTCTCCCAGTACTAAATCTTGGGTTGGTTCATTGTTACTGCACTAGCTTTTCTGTCAAGTATACTGCACAGCACTCCTATCTGACAGCCACTTGGCATGAGTTGCTTGCTTAGAACTATACTAAATACCTCTAGTTTGATTTTAAAGGTAAAGATTTGTTTTATAAAGGGTTGTTCCTGGTTGTACACAAGTAAGTCTCTTAAACTGTGTTGTTGGGCACAACTAAATCCTCTTGACTTTGATAGAGGAAGGAAACTACCTTTTAAAGATATCAGAGGATTTATAAATCCAAGCATCTTTTAGTGACTGTGATTTGGAGAACGTATCTGGATGGGAAGAACTCAGTTCCTAAGGCAGCTCACCCAACCCTGTTTGCTTGACAAACATCTCTGTATTCATGCCCTATTGCTAACTGCAGGATCTTTTTTTACTAACTTTCTGTTCTGTTTTACCCTCTGAGAAACTGACACTGAACTTTCTGACATTTTTGATCTCTAAAGTCTCTCTACATTGTTGGAATTGCCTGGATATAATTTATTTCTGCTTCCCAGTTGCAGACTCCTTGCAGACTTCCTGCAAGCAAAGGTACTGCATTGTCTTGAACTGCTACAGTGAGGACAACACATTGGTAGGGGCAATGCAGACTAACAAAGGTAGTTTTAAGCTTACAGCATCAACAAATAAAGCTGTAATAAATTTTAATGTTTTGAAGAAATACTTTTATAGTGGTACTAGTTGATCCTGGCAGGAAGCAGCTCGTTACTTTAAAAGACCACAGAACTACAGAATCACAAAATATGCCAAGCTGAAAAAGACACACAAAGATTGTCAAGTCCAGTGACAACAAAAGGTTATTTTAACATTGAAGAGGAAGAAAAAATCCTCTCTTTGAGAAAAATACTAATAACATGAATACATGGTAATGTAAAGCACCATTTAGAATGTGTACAGTTACTTCCCAGAATGTAACAGAAAATACGTGCCTGACTACTAGAAGATTCCCAAATACAGACCTGAACATGGAACAAAATTGTAAAATCTCTGGAATAATCTTGAGAAAGACAAAGTAGGTAAGTGTTCTGTTGTTCTGTTATTTTATAGTTCCCTGGGTTGCAGAATAAACCTGATAGCACTCCTTGGTGACAGCTGATGGACTTGGTGGAGACCTATAGAAAACCATGGACATCTACACAGATGGAGATACTGCTTCCATAATCATAGAATCGTACCATGGAATGGTTTGGGTTGGAGGGGACCTTGAAGATCATCTCACTCCAACCCATGGGCAGGGACACCTTCCACTAGACCAGGCTGCTCAGAGCCCCATCCAACTTGGTCTTGAACACTTCCAGCGATGGGGCATCTGCAGCTTCTCTGGGAAACACGTACCAGTGCCCCACCACCCTCGCAGTGAAGCATTTCTTCCTAATAGCTGGTCTAAACCTTCCCTCTTCCAGTTCAAAGTCATTCCCCTCTGTCCTATCGCTATGTGCCCTTGTAAAAAGTCCCTCCAGCTCTCTCCTAGCCCCTTTAGGTACTGGAAGGTGCTGTAAGGTCTCCCCAGAACCTTCTCTTCTCCAGGCTGGAAAAACACAACTCTCTGTCTTATTTAATCAGGGAGGTGCTCTAGCCCCCTG